CTAAAATCACTTTATATTCTAGTTGTACTGAATAAACAGATATTTTACTGTATTTAGGTGGCGCTTTATGTATTTTTGGTATAACTTCTTACTTATTATTGATAACATTAACCTTATTTGAGACTCGTTTAGACAAATAATTCAAATCCGCGAAGCTGACAGGCGAGTTTGAGGCCAGAATGACATGTTTAGGTGTTACATTGGGTCTTTTAGATGTTGTTTAAGCTAATTTTTATGTGTCTTTATTAATACTTTTCATATAAACAAATGAAATGTTTATATATTTGAAAAAAAACATCATTTACAATAACAAATAAATGCAAAAAATAAAAGAATTTCAGGTTTCCTGTATAATATGGACAATATCTTGCTGTTAATTCGCTGAAATAACTAATAAAAAAAATAATAATTTATGTATAATATATTTAATAGTGATAATCGGTATTTTTTGCATAATATTTTTACAAAATGACGTAAAGCCATAAATCTTCTCATAAAACTCACATAAATTTGAAAAAGTAGAAAACCTATATATATAAATAAGAAACCTTCATTTAGCCTTATAAAATTTTGAGAAAAATAAAATAATATTATACGGATTTATGTAAAGACACTTATAAGACTGTAAATAATTAAAATGTCCGGCACGATCTTAAAAAGCTAAAATAATATAATTTAAAACTGCTTTAAAAATAAATAGTAAATAAAATATATATATATATATTTCAATTTTATATTTATAAATTTATATATATATTTAAATTATTATTAGTTATTTGTGATTAATAAGTTATTTTATATTTTTTGCTTTAACATATTTTTATGTCTAATATAGTTAATTTTAAAAATGTTATTTTTATAAAGATTTATTATTTATTAATAAACATGGATATATTTAAAAGCTTTGAATAACCAATTTAATAATTTTAGATATTATAAGAAGAAAACCTTTCTTTTTTTTAATAATATATACTTTACCGTTTGAAAAATATAATTGACGAGGATATAAAAAAAACTTCTAAAGTTTAAGAAAGCTACAATTCTTTTCAAAACCCCCGAAATCAACTAGATAACACTATTTAAATAAAAAAAACACATCGAGAAATCAACCTATCTCCTACTTTAATTTTGGTAAGAACTCTAAGAATAAAGACCAAACAAATAAGTTCTTAATTAGATTGGAAAGGAAGTGTTTTAGATAATTTCTTAATTAAAAGCCGAATTTAAAAACACTGACAATATCCTCATATATAATCATTTAGAAATATTCTTCCACACCCTTTTAGAGGAAAGAAATTACTCAAACACCTTAGTTGACACAAAAAACGTACAAAAAGCCTTAATAGATGAAAATTTAGACTATACTTACTGTACTATATAGATACAAACCGAGGACAATAACACGGCTTCGATAATAAATGCAAACTACGAGGCTTTGAAAGTCATAGGGATGAGAAAATCTTAACTTTTAGACAAAAATTTGGCTATAATAATGCCTGAAATTTGGGGTAATTATCACAATTAATTTATAGAAGAGTATTTAATTGGTAAATAGTCTAGAATAATAAATTAAATCTCTAATTTTTTCGTAAAAGACATGAATGACTACATAATTCCAATTACACTTACTGTAAAAAACATTTCGAATATAATTTAAGGAGTTTCTTTTTTAGGTTAATTTTGTATTACCAAAAATCTCTATAACCCTAATTTTCACATGCTTACAGATCCGGAAGGTATTATTTTGAATATTTCTGTATCTACTATTTCTTTCCTTAAGTTAGACATGGCAAATATCAAAAACAACTAAATTAATATAGATACAATTATTTCTAATTTTAAGTAAAATATACCTTTTTTTATATAAAAACAAGGCAAAGACATTAATCTAGAATTATCTGAAAATCAGCAAATTTAAGCCAATGTGAAACTAAAGAAAATAGAATTTATGAATATGGCTTGTTAGGGTTATATTATAGAGTTTCGGCCTTTAACAGATTAATATACGAATAAATAATAGCCTTTAAATCCAATAAATAAAGGCAACATTAACATAATAAATAACATTTAATAATAATAATAGTATTAAAATGAGGCTTCTTATGATTTTGAAAGCATATTACTTTAAAATAATCAACAAAATAAAAATTTTGGTCCTTATTATGAACTAAAAATAAAGGAAAATAAGGATTTTCTGAATATAAAAATACACTTGGAGTTATTTTTTGATTTAAAATCGAATAGTTTCAAAGGAACTATGATACAAGGAAAACCTTTTAAAACTAAAAAAAAAATCCCCGCCTCTTCCCAATAAACTAATAACTTAAATAACGAAAATTTTATATATGTAACTTCTTAATAATATATAAGCAATATAGTCGTAAAAGACAAAAGAATGCAATGTTAATAATTTATAGAGGAAAAACTACAAATGAGTGCTATATAAGCAAATAAATAAAATTTAAACGAAGAATAAACGTAAACGTAAAGTAAATAATATGACAAAAATATACGTACATTTAAATTATTCAAAAACAAACTACTGGATGCTATGGAGTTTTAGAAAATAATCGAAAACGAAGAAGGAAATAACGGTGAAGAAGAACTCGAACAAGAAATAATTCGATCTTAAGATATCCGTATGGAAGTTGAATAAGATGAATATTATTAAATAGGAAAAATATTAAGTTCTAATAGTAGTTTAAGCTAGTTTTTATCTGAAAAGAAATATGATAATAATGGAAATATAATTTTCTATTTGAAAATATTTTCGTTGTTTTTTTTTATTGTGAGTATTGCCTTTTATTTATTTGATTATTTCTATACTTCCGATTAAATAAACGGGTTTGTACATAGATATGAAACTTTAAATTTTACATATAAATATATATCTACAATTTAAAATTTAATTACTGTACTATAGGAAATAAGGCCTTTAAGGCAAGGTTTTTATTATAAAAAAAAAAATCTAACGGAATAGGAATAATAAAAAATTCATTAAGAAATGATTATGGTTTTGAAAGAATATTAAATTAATATAGACGATTATATATCTTAAATTTATTTAAATTAAATAGGAGTTACATAAAGGATGATGGAAATATATAATAATAAAGACGAAACAAAAGTTATAACTCGTGTTTAAAGTGGATAAATAGTTATTTATTATGGAAATTTATATTAGTCTACTTAATAAATTATGGCTAAATTGTATCATTTAAATGCAGAATAATTAAATGAATTTTATGAAGAAAATAGCGATTATTTAATTTTAATATAAAATTTTTTAAACTAAGTACTTATAAAATAAGAAGAATTTATATCAGAAATTACTTAAGAAATATAAGATTATTAAAATTAATAAGAATATAACTTCACTTAAATTTTAGTAATTGCGTTAATAATATTGTCTACATTTCTTATTTTGTATATTTTTCTTTATTTTATATCTTTATAAGCATCAAATACCATAATATAAATAATCGCTTCAATCTAAATGTCTGAAATTAAATTAATTCTCCAAAAATGTTCTGATTTTCTCCAAAAATTCAACGAATCATCTGGAAAAGAAGATATCAACTCCAACTCCACTATAACCATCAACTCTTAAAAAAATGAAAAGCCTGAAGAAGACGATAAGCTAATAGTAAGGGGCCTAATAGGGTAAAAAAAGCGCAATTTTCAAGACTAAAAGCTATAATTTGGCGAGATATTTCCCTTTGTCTGTACATTCTTATTCTTTATAATCTACATAGCATCCCGCTCCTTGATAATTAACAATTACTTATATAAACAAAAACTATATAAGCCTGAAATAGAAATATTATTCCAACTAGAGTTCCTTTTTTCATTCACAAACAACTGTTTACGCGCCTCAATTTTATTCGAATAAAATCAAACCATAAAAGAACAATACAAGCCCTTCGATTACCTGAAAGAAAACTTGCTCCCTAAAATATACTAATCTATAAGTGATTTATAGAAAAAACACTATGAAAACCTAGACTATTTACCTTTAAACTACAAAAAAATCTTCAATTCATATTTTATGCCAGATTAATTTTGTGACAGACTACTTTAAATAGAAATCGAAATACAATAAAAACCCGAATAAGAACTATGTATATAATTTTTAAACGGGCTTTTTTTAAAAGGACTTAATATAGTCATTCCGACATTAAACCAATTTATTTTAGAATAGACAAATTTAAAAGAAAACGAATAAATATTTAATAAATATGAATTTTCGACAACTGAAAATATGTATAATATAAGTATTTTAATTAAATATACAAGATGGGCTTTTAGGGATATTGTCAAAGTATTTTTAGATGATTTGGATAAATAATATTCTTATTTTATGTTTAATAGGGTAATTTTATTATGTAATATTGTAGTTTTAGTATTTTTTGTAGTTTTTTTTATTTGGTTACCTAAAATAAATTAAATTTAAGAAGATTTTCTTGCACATAGATAAATTCTTACACTTATACCTATACAAATTAGATGTAAAAGTCCTACTATAAGAGATTATATATTTTAGTGTATTAAATCAAATAAAATTTTAAAATAATGATAAAGGATAATATATATATATATATATATATATTAATATATATATATATATATATATATAAATATATTATAATAATATATATTTACTTATATTTAATTATAAATTAACAAATATCTTATAATTTATTATATATTAATAATATTTTTAATATTAATAAAATGGTAAAAACTAAAAAAGACAAAAAAAACAAACTTTCATCACCAAAACATAAAAATAAAAAGTAATAAATTAATAATCTTATATATATATAATTATTTTCATTTTTTATATTTAAATTTTTTTAAAAAATTTATATATATATTTAGACACAATAATATTAAAAAAAAAGATATAAAAAAAAAAAACTATACTCGTTTTGGTAAATATGGTATATTAGGGTAAAAATAAAAAAAAATAAAAAATATAATTAAATAAAATAAAAGAAAAGAACATATATTTGAAAAAAGAGACGAATTTTAATTATGGCTTTCAGAAGTAAAAAAAATAAATTTGGAAATGATAAATTTAGCTGAAGAAAGGCGACTTTTTAAGATTATATTGAAGATTATAATACCGCAACAATGCCTAAAGAAATATATTACGATATAAAATTATATGAATAATATATTGATAGAAAATAAGAAAACAACAACTTGAAAAAAGTATATGAAGATTATAACATAGATAATGATGAAAAATAAAAAAAGTAATAATTAAAGAAAATATATATATATTGTATTTATTTATTTATATTATATATTTATATATTTATATATTTATATATTTATATATTTATTTATTTAGATTAGAAAGAATACTTAAAAGCGAGCTTTACGATTATTAATTAACTAAAGCTGCTTTAAATTAAATTATAGAAGATAAAGATATGGTAATATATATAATTATAATATTATATATATAATATATAAAAAATAGGTTGAAGGAATAAAAGAAACATAAAATAAAGCAGCAATAATGCAATAAACATATAAAATGGGTGATACATAAAAAGCTTTAGAAATGCAAAAAGAATTATTACCTTAAAAAAAATAAGGATAATAAGATTGAAATATAACGAAAAATATATAAATGTAATTATATATTATTTATATATAGAATTAATAATTATATTATATTTTTTAAAATAATTATTAGTTTGTTAATAAATATTTTTTTTAAAAAAAAATAAGAACTATTAAATATTTTAAATTTAAAAATAATATATATCTAAATTTAAAAACAATTTATATAAATGATATTTTAATTAGTTTTTTAATTTAAAATATTATATTTTTAAATTTTTTCTTTTAATTTAATAATAAATAATATATATATGTATATAAAATAATAAATATTCATATTAATATATATATATATATAATATTTATTCATATTATTTTTTTTTTTATATCATTTTTATATATTATTTTCTTAAATATAATTTTTAAATAGTTATTTTTTATTTATATATAATATTTTTGCAATTTAATACAATTAAAATTAATAAAATAAAGTTGAATAAAAAAAAATTAACTTTATTTTTATTTTTACAAAATATTTAATGAATCCATCAAATATTTAATTTTTAGTTTATACTTCTAAATCTTTTTTTATTTTAAATTTTTCAAAAATTTTATGATATAAATAATTTTCAAATCTGGACTTCCTCTATAATTTATTTTGAATAAAATTTTTACTCTATTATCCATATCCATATTTATATTAATTTTTATAGATTTAAATTCTGATTATTTACAAAATTGAAATTGAAATTGATCTATAAACTATAAATAAATAAAAAATATAATATGTTTTATCTATAAAAACAATAAAATCAGATATATAAAAGTTTTAAATTCCAAATTTTTAATTTATTTCTTAATTAATTAAAAATAATAATTTATTATTCTGTTTTACTAAGTTGGCTTTTTTTTATTTTAAAGATTTCGTTTTTTGTTTTAACACTTACTCATTCATATTATTCTTTATCTTAAAATAATTCATAAATATCATAATAAAATCAAAAATACGAAAGCCTTTTGCGGCTTAAACTAATATTAATAGTCTTTCTATTATCAGTAATTTTGGTAATTTATTGATTATTTAGATTTCTATTTTAATTCTTTATAATATAGAAGATCATAGTTATTAAAAATTATTTAATATTAATAGAGATTTAATCTTTATAATATAGAAGATCATAGTTATTAAAAATTATTTAATATTAATAGAGATTTAATAATTATCATCGAATATACTATTAATGAAATTACTGATTCTTTAAATATTTCGTTATATTAAAATAAATATAAAAAATAAACAAATATTTATATTCTATAAATAGAACAATGAAATTATTTATAATGGAAATGTTTTATTAAAAAATATAAATAAAAGATATATTTTTAATTTTTTATAGATAATATTTTATATTATTAATTTTTTAATATGAAATTAAAAAAAATAATAAATAATTATTTTGTTTCTTTATTCACTAAATAATATTAAATTTTATTTATTTGCATAAATTTATTTTTTAATTTATTAAAAAAATTAAATATAATTTATATTATTTTTTAATTATTAAAAGTAAAAGAATTTCAAATAATTTTTGTTAAGTTTAAATTTATATTAAAAATAAAATTTTTAATTATGAAATTCATTATAAAAATAAATATTATTTCATAATAAATATAAATATATATACTTGTTTATGTTTTAAAAAATAACTTAAAAATAAAAATTAAATTGGAATTTATGTATAATATATTTTTTAAATTAAATATTAATATAATGTTTTTATAGAAGTTATTTTTAAAAATTAGATAAAAAGATTTTTTATTAAATATAAAATTATGAAATTCAATATTTTTAGGAAATATTTTATAAATAATAAAAATTTATCATATATTTTTATTGATATATATACTTAAATTTCATTTAAAAATATTTTTTTTGTAATTTTTTATCAAAGATATACTCAAAAATAAATATATATAAAATGTTTTTAAAGAATATAAAAATATTTATAATAATAATATGTTTTCAATATTTAGTAAATTATTTTATTTTCCATAATTAGTGAATAAATATATTTTCGAATAAAAAAAATAAAATTAAAAAATAAATTTAAATTGCTAAATATTAACAAATAATAACAATTATGATAAAATAAAAGTATAAAAAATTTTTATATTTATAAAATTTTTTTATAATAATAATAAATATGATTATAATTTATAAAATTAAGATATATTATTTATATATATATATATATATATTTAAATAAAAAAATTATTATTATATAAATTTAAAAATAAAAATTATTTATTTTTACGTATTAATATTTCATTTTTTATTTATTAAATTAATTAAAGTCATATAATATATTAATCAATAATTAATTTTTTAATATATAAATAAAATAAAAATAAACAAAATTAAATATAAAAATTTAAATAATTTTTTTAAATTAAATTGAATATGGCCTGTTAATACGCAAATGATTTAAATGAAAGCAACAGAATGTTTCTAATAGACCTCGAGCATTTATTACAGGAAAAAAACACTAATTTAAAATATAATTATGAGTTAGAAAAATATAAATTATCCGACCCTGACTATAATATAATTAAATTACCCCGTGGCGGAGTGGTAATAAGAACGAAAATTGGAAATATATAATATGGATTACCACCTGAGACAGTAAAAGATTCATTAAATTTAAATTTAGAAGTAGCCACATATTTTATAATCCCAACTAATAGATTCGATAAATAAACAGGAATAAATATAGCAGAGTTTGAATTTCCAGCTTATTTTAATTTTTTTGTAATAAACGATAAATTTGTCTCATTTGTACAAAAAAAGCAGAATAAGACATCAGAAATATTTTTTAGGAAACTTTAATAGGTCCGAAATAATATGATGTAAATATAAAATAATATTAAATAAAGAATATTAAATAAAAATAAGAATTTAAATGAAGATTTTTATTATAAAATACCAAAAGAATTTTATCCGGATTTCAAAAAAGAAAGGAGAATCTTTTCAAGTGTAATTATAAAATTATAATAGGTTTCTTTATAGAAAAAATATATATATATTAATATATATATATATATATATATATATATATTATATTATTTTTTTTTTTATATATTATATGTTTAAATAATATATAAATATATTAATAATTAGAACCCTTTAAAACCTGAAGAAGATATTACAGTAGATACATTATTAACATTTAAAGTATTTAATGATGATAACTCTTGTATTATAAAAGATAGTAATAGAAATATTATAATAGAAATTATAAAATAAAAAAATTCATTTAAAATAATTGAAAATTAAATAGAGATTGCAGAAATAGAAGATGTAGTTAATCTTTCTTAAAAAAAGCTTAAATATAATTTAAATACAAAAAGAAGTAATTCATTAATTTAAAGTAAAAATGATATGGAAGATTAAAGTCCTTTTAATTTGACAAAACAATAAGGAACAATATAATAAACTGCTTAGACTTTTGAAAATTTAACTATAAATTCTACAAATAATATTGATAGTAAAAATATGTTGAACTCATAATATAAGTAATCAGATTTTAAACCGCCAGATTTCGGTGTTACAATATTAGGAAATTCACATGGTTATAAAAATATAAATATATATATGTATATAATATATAATATATATATATATATATATATATATATATAATATATTTATATTTTATACATATGTTTTTTTTTATATTTATATTTTTATATTATTTTAGGATTTGATCCACACGGTAATACATCTGGATTTATAATTTGGATTTATGGAAGAGGTATAATGGTAGATCCACCCCCTTATTAAAATTAATATTTAAAAAGTTTAGGCATAAACCATTAATTAATAAGTGGTATAATAATTAGTCACTGTCATGCAGATCATGATGCTGGAACTTTTCATTAAATAGTCGCACATGGAAAAATAGAGGTTATAACAACAAAGACTATAATGGATTCATTTTTAAGAAAGTATTCAGCGATTTCTTAAATATCGATAGTTGAATTGAATAGCCTTTTTGCATTTAGATAAGTTATAATAGGTACTAATATGCAGATGTTTGGAGGATGTTTTAGCTTTTTTTATTCCCTTCATACTATACCATCTCTTGGATTTGAAGTAAAAGTTTAAAATAAGAAAATTTATTTTTCGTCCGATACATTCTATAATCCTAAAGTGTTAATATATATTTAGATAATATTATATAAATTATTAATTTATTAATATATAATTTATTATTAATATTTTAATTAAAATTAATATATAGATTATTTTAATTCTATTAACAAGGAAATTTATCAAAATAAAGATACGATTAATTTATAAGTATAGATTTTTCTAAATATGATTTAATTTTGCATGAAGCAGGTGTTCCTCCTATTCATACTCCTTAATAAATTTTAGCAGATTTTCCTTAAGAAATAAAAGAAAAACTATACCTAATACATATTGCAGAAAAAGATTTATTATAAAACAGCGGGTTGAAAATAGCCTAAGTTGGAGTTGAAAATACTATTATATTATACTAAAATATATAAAATAATGAAGTATAATTAATTTAGAGATTAGACATAATATCTAAAATAGACCTTTTTGAATATTTACCATTAAAACATGCTAAATATTTAATGGATTGTGTAAAAGTTGAGTATTATCAAAAAGATGAATTTATATTTAAAGAAGGAGATATTGGAGATAAATTCTATATTATCTAATATGGATAAGTTAGAATTTATTCAGATACTTTCATTAAATTAGATAAATATTTCTCTATAGGTGATTATTTTGGAGAAATATCTGTATTAGATTCTAATAGTAAAAGAATAGCAAAGTAATATAAAAAATAAAAATATATATATATATATATATATATATATATATATATATAATTAAATTTATATTATTAAATATATTTTTATTTTATAGTGCTTAATCTGTAAATGAAAGTACTTTATTAATTTTAGAAAAACATGACTTTAATTTTATTTTTGGTACAGAAAATAATGTTGTCCTTAAAAAACTTAAATAATTATCAAAAGTTAGGAAATCTTAAGCTATTGAAATTATTGATAAGTTAATTTCTTATTATAAATATATACTTATTTATATATAATTATAGAAATAGTATATTAGAGAAACTAGAATAATTTTAAAAAACTGAACTTGAAATGATAATGAAGGAAAAAAAATACTAAAAAGGTGATATTATATGGAATTTCGATTAAGAAATATAAATTTCTATTCTTTTAAAAAAAGGAATTATTAAATATCATAAAAATAATGAGGAATTTTAATTATTAGTATCAGGTTGTTTTATTGGGGATGTAAAAGATTTACTTGATAGTAAAAATCATTAAAGTAAACTAGTATGTTAAACTGATTGTAATGTTTATTAAATAAATAAAAAAATTTAATTAAATTTTTGTAAATTAATCCAGGAATTAAACTTATTTTTTAAGATAAATAATATTTTGATTGATTAAAATAAATATAAAATAAAATAATATATATATATATATATTAATATATATATATTTTAATTTAATATAATTTATTATTATATTGATTTTTTAATATTTGTACTTATTTTTATAAAATATTTATTTAATTATATTTATATATAAAATGAATAATAAAATTACTTTTTTATATATGAATTTTTTAAAAAATATTTATTTTATTTTACTTTTATTATTATATATAATTAAAACAAAATTTAATAATTGTATTACAATTGATTTTTATATTTTTTTTTTATTTAATCATTAAATATTTATACAAATATATTGAAATATACAATATTATTTATTGTAAATTTATGTATAAAAATAATATAAGTTAATTTTTTTGTATTTATTAATATAGTATATTTATATTTTAAACATAAATATTTTTAATACATTTATATTATATATTATTAATTATTTTTTGTTGAATTTAATAATTATTTTATATTTTGTTTTAAATTTACAAATTATATATATATAACTTTTTTTTAGCATTATATTATTTATCATATGTCTTTTATTCTTTATATTTAAATAAAAAAATTATTAATAAAAAAGTAATCTAAATACATTTATATATAAATTAAAAAAATTATAAAATTAAAATTTTATTTATAATTATTAATTATTTTTAAAATATAAAAATAGAAAAAATATAAATATTAATAATAAAAAATTAATATAATATTTTAATTTTTATTTTTATTCATAAATTTTTTTTTTTAATTTTAATAAGATTGTATAAATAGTATTTTGTTTATTAATAATTCATATAAAATAAACTTCAGATTAATATGAAAAAAACATGTTTACCTAGTATTTATTTTATGATTATAATTAATATTTTATTTAAATTATTAGATGTATGATATATATATAAATAATAGACCATTTTAAAATGAATTAATTAAAAAAATAATATTATAATATATATAGAAAGTAATGAACAATTGATAATCAAAAAATTATTTATAATCTTTTAATTTTCAGATTAAATATGAATATAATAATCTTAATCATATTATGTTAATATAATAAAAATAATAATCATTACTTGTAAAAAAATCAAGCCTTGAATACATTTAAAAATTTTAAATGAACTATTAAATTTAATATTTATAAAAGTAATAAAAAATCTAAATAGAATTTTAAATTCAATAATTTGTTACTGTATTTCTTAATTTAATTAAAAAAAAAATTATCTAAATCCAAATATTAAATAATTTTTTATATATTTAATATTAAAAATAAATAAAAATGATAAAGAATTAATTTAAATAAAGAAGCAATTAAAAATAGATCATTTAAACTAAAAATTAATTAAGATTTATAAATAATTTAATAATGAAATAAACAAAAGAAGAAGCCAAAAATTTTAAAATATATAGAAAAGTAGTTTTTTTAAAAAAAACTTTAAGGAGATAAAATGATATTAAAAAAAAAATTAAATTTGCAACAACAACAAAAAATTGTCCTTATATTAAAAATAAAATGATTTATATATATTTTATTAATATTGTAAATTAAATTAAAAATAAAATAAATATAAAAAAACAAGAAAATGAATAAAAATAATAATAAAAAGACATATATAATAGTAAATATCATAATTAATAAAAGGAAATCAAAATCAAGTATTATTATTTATAAAAAAAATGAAAATAAGAAAAAAATAAAATAAAAATAAAAATATAATTAATATGAAAAAATTAATTATATTAAGCTTATTTAGTTATATAATACAAATTCTTAATAAATATATATATATATATATATATATATATATAATATTTATATATTTATTTATTTATTTATATATAATTTATATTTTTATATATCTTATACTTTATATATTATTTTTTAATTATATATTTTCGCGGTTTTTAAGAGAAATAATATATTTTCTCTCTTTTATTTTTTTAAAAAAAAAATAGACACGAGAGAAATAACAAAATTATATTTAAAAAAATAAATAATTAATTATAAATATAAATAAAATAATATATTAAAATACAATATACATTTTTTTTAAAAAAAGTAAAAATAAACACAAAAAAATTTTCAAAAAAAAATATATAAAACATTTAAAATAATAGAAAAAAATAAAATATATAAACATATATATATATATTTAAAATAATAAAAAAAATGGAAGAACAACTCGAAAAGATAAAAAATAATTTAAATTTAAGTCCAAAAACATTCCAAAAAAGCGAGTTTTTCCTTGAAGAATTTCTCTTAAAATGTCAATGTGAATTTACTATTTAATAAAAAAAGATTTATCCTACTTGTGCAGCATATTATGCACTTTTTGAACAAAAAAATTCATTAAAACTACCTTCTGATGATGATATTAATGCCGAAGATTTTCTCCAAAATTTAATTTTTTTTCCTAGAAAATTAATTAGGACTTAAAGTAGAAATATTTGTAAGAAAAATGCGAAAAAATAAAAAAATATATTAAATATTACCAAAAACTGTATTAATAATTATCTTTTTTTTCACTTTAAAATTAAAACTCATAAAAAATTTTATGGTATATATTTTTAATAATATTAAATGAAGAATAAAAAGAGGAAAATCCCGAAGAAACTATATATATATTATACACTATTATATATAAATATGTTCGAAAGTACTAAAAAAACGACGACAGTACATAAATAAACGAATAAATATAAAAATAGAACCTCGATTTATAAAAATACTAGGAAATCGAGAAAAATATACTCGAAAAAAGTTTAGAAAAACTAGAGAAAATACATAATTTTTCAATTTAAGAAAATTTCCAAAACACATAAATTCTTCTTTAATTTCTAGAAGAAAATTTCATAAAAAAAACTCCTGAAAAATTCAATGAATATGTTTTTGATGATTTTTTAAATAATTAAATAAAAAAAAGCAATAATATTCCATAAATTAAAAAAAATATCAATTTTAATGAATAATCTTCCCTAAATATTAAGCTTTCGGAAATAATCTAATAAAAAATTAACCATTATTAATAAAATCAACCCCCTTTAACCCCTAAAGAGTCATTTAAAATACCTTCGCGAACATAAATTCCTCCTCAAACTCCCATAACTACATCTTTAGAAAATTATAAATGGTTAAATTTATTTTCTAAATAAGAGACTACTCATAAACTAGATTATTTTTGTAATAAAATAGAAAAAGACTACAAAGAAAAAATACTCAAAGAAATCTAAGAAATAATAAAAGACATATATTATAAATGTAAAAAAAAACTCGAAAACTAAATAGAAAATAGAGTCTAAAGGACATTAAATTTATTTTAAAATATATTAGAAAGAATAATAATGTATATATAAAAACAATATATATTAATATATATATTTATAGATAAGAAGAAACAAGAATAGATAATGAAAACTAATTATTAATAGTCTTTTCTAATTAAAAGTTCCTTTTATCTATATTAATAATATGTATAATAACAATATGCTTTATATAAGACACAAAAGATATCCAATTCAATTTTTTATTAGAAAAAGCAAACATTTCATCAATTGATGTATGGAAAGGGATATCAAATTTTGCATATTGCGATAAATATATGCCTGAATCTATAAAAGAGAATTTATTTAATTTAGAAGGGAGAATATTACTATATAATATATGGGAAGAAAAGGATATATAAATAAATATTATATTAAAAAAATATATAGAAGAAAAAAAGCCTTTCTAATTAAATAATTCGCCTTTAAATAATAATAATTAAGGTATTTTTGATGTTATATGTAAAAGATTAATACATCATACAGCTTTTAGAGTTTTCGAGGTTTCCTTAAAGATGAATTTAAATGAAATTGTTAAAGAAAAAATATGGGAAGCACTTAAATATGTATTTTAAAATTAAAATGAATTACTAGAAAAAAGGTTTGTTGATTAAATTATTATTTGTTCTATTTATGCTATATATATGCTTAATAAAAACTTGTTTTAATAAGAAATTAAATTTAAATATATGCTTAATTAATGTGAGGATATTCCATTTTTTTAAACTGAGAAAGTCAAAAAAACACATGATACTTAAATAAATGAAGATATTGATATTATAACTTTCTATAATAAAATATTTCTTCAGCCTATGAAGATATATTTTAAAGATAATAATTGTTAATAAACACCTTTGGCTAATGAAAGTATTAAAATATCATCACTTTGTGATAATATTCCTAAAGCTTTCAGAGCTTTTATGACAGGAAATAAAATAAATACAGGATAAACTACACCTATTTAATAATAATATTAATTACCTCCACCTGTTAAGGTTTAGAAAATATAATGACTTTTTTATTATTAATTTAAATATATATATTGTTTTTATATATAAATATATTTTATATTTAAAATTATGAATTATAATTTCTTTATAAATTTTTATAAATGACTTAATTTATATAATAAAAATAAAAATTATAATTCAAAAAAAATCTTTAATAAATAAATAATAGCTAACAAAAAAAATACATATATATATATATAATAAATAAATACATGACAACATAAAATAATAAATATATATATAAATATTACACTTTTTATATTAAGTATATTTATTTATGTAAAATATACATATATATAAATAAGAAACAATTAATTATTTTTAAATTTTTTTTCATATTTTTATTTAAAAAATAAAAATATAGGCCTTGTATTTTATCTATCTTTTTAAAAAATATATTTTATATATAAATATATATATATATATATATATATATATATTTATAATAATTTTATTACTTTAATTTATCTATATTTATATATAAATAAAAAAAATTTCTAAATTTAAAGTATGTAAAAAAATGTATAAAAATAAATTACATCTGAATAAAATGAAAACATTCTTAATTTATCTGATATGGCTGAAAACGAAGAACTGATTAAGCACGATATTGAATAGCCAATTCTTCATGGTTTAATTCACACTATAACTTTCAGTGGTTTTTTCCATTCAATATCTTTAAATCTCATAACAACCTTAATGTCTTATTCTCATTCTTAATATCATATATTATTGTTTTCTTTAGGAGGTATTTTTGGTCTTGTATTGAGTTATGGTTTAACTTTAAACACATCTAAACGAACGATAATATAACTATCCGACTTTATGTATTTATTGGGAATATTATCAACCTTTATTACTTATAGTTATTATTATATTTGTTCTTTTTTTTTAGGCTTTTCTATGGGTTTATGTATTTTCGCTTTACTTTTGGATATAAAAGAAATTATTCCACATAGTTCATATTTAGTAAATTAAAAAAATAATAAATATAATTATATATATATGTACATAAATAGGCTAAACATATGTCATTATATTAAATTTATTTCTGTATAGGATTAATGGCTAGTTAATTAGTAAAATTAAACCTCTAAAATGTATACGAAGCTGATTAAAAATCTACTTTTGACGTCCATTCCTTTGATAGAGGTCAAATAGCTTTCCTATTAACCAGTATGGGCCTTATAATAATAAGATTTATTCTTTTATCAACTAAATTTAGGATGTCTACTCCATTCGAAATAATAAGATTCCATTAATCTAAGTCTAAATTTCAAACAAGTGTCCATAAGATGTATAACGTTGAAAACGAAGTCCATTTAAGGGAGAATCTAGTTCATAAATACAAAAAGGAATACATAAAAAGCGAAAGATAAAATAATCCAAGATTCTGGAAGTAAGTTTTGGAAGGATTTCTTCTTTGTTTTTTTTAGTAAGCTTGCGGATGTTAAATTTTCATGAATACACAAGAACTTTCTATTGAAGACATAAAAAATAAAGTTTAGACTCCAGGATAGACTTGGCTTGTAAGTATAACTGGATTATGTTCCTTAATAGGTGCAATTATTAGTTATTTTTTTATAAACCACTATACAAGAATAAGATGGGCCTAATTTGGCTTTATTTGTGTGATGATATGTTAGGCTACATCGGCAGTTTTAGCTAAATATTAAGTAAATACTTTTGCTGTTTTTTGTGTGTTTCATTTCTGTATTAATTTATCATTTATATAGGCTATATATTCCTTTTGTGCACATAAATTTCTAGAATTTGGACTTCTTATTTGCTAAATAGGATTGTGGATAGGTTTTGCAATCTCAGGTGTTATTTTTTATAATGCTTTTTTAGAATAGGATAGTTAATAACCAATTAGTTTTATTATATTTTTATGTGTTGCGTTTTTAGGACTTGTTTTTATTAGTTTTTACGCAGAAGAACCGAATCATGTACATTATTTGGATTAATATACTGACTAAAATAAACTTTTAAAAATAAATGATGATAACCAAGGAGAAATTATTAATAAATCTTCATAATAATGAGTCTAATTTTATTTTTTATATGTATGTAAACTAACTTCTTTTTTATATTAATATTTTTAAATTTATAGTTATTATATTTTAATATTTATGAGTTTTTTTTTTTGGATGATATTTTTTTTTTTTTTTTCTAAATATAATAAAAAAAATTATAGAAAAATAAAATTTTTAATATATATTATAAAAATAATATAATTTAATTATTTAAAAAAATAAATAAAAAAAAAATGTAAAACAGATTCCAATCCTCTTTAGGATTGAGTTATGATAATGCTATAGAAATAGGATAAAGAGCTTTATAATTATATAAATAATAAAATTATCCATTGGCAAAAGTGACATTTATATAAGCATTAGAAAGTATGATTTAATTAAATAAAAGTATGTAAATAAAAATATATATATAAAAAAAAATATATATAAAAAAAATAAAATAGATGAATAAAATTAAGAAATAAAGCTTTAAGGAAAAAAACAAATTTAATAATTTATGTTAAATGCAGAAGATTGTTAAAAAAAAATATAATTATAAAACTAAAAAGTAAGTAATTATTATTATTTTTTATCAAATAAATAAAATAAGCCTTATTAACATAATATATAAGTTAATATATTTACACATGAAATAAATACATTATATTATATCTATATATCTATATATCTATATATCTATATATCTTTATATCTATATATCTATATATCTATATATATACATATTAAAAATTATAAATCTTAAAAAAAGAATAATTAAGATTAATTTTATAAATAAATAACTTAAACAATTCTTGATAAAACAAATAATATAAAATTCTCTGATATTGGTAAAATAATAATAAAAAAAAAATATTAAATTTAAAAAAAGCTGGACTATAGGAAGTAAAATCGACTCTAAAAGAATGTATAATATATCCATCTTTACGTCCTGATATATTTCAGGGAATCAGAGCACCACCAAGAGGAATTTTACTATATGGACCTCCTGGAAATGGAAAAACTTTAATTGCTAAAGCTGTTGCAACAGAATGCAAAGCTGTATTTTTTAATTTAAGTGCTAGTAGTATAGTATCTAAATATATGGGGGAAGGTGAAAAATTAATAAAAGCGTTATTTGAATGTGCTTATATAAATTAACCTTCAGTATTTTATATATATATTTTTATTAATAATTTGTTTTTAATAATAGATTATTTTTATTGATGAAATAGATAGTATATTAAAATAAAGAAGTGAAAATGAACACGAAGCTAGTAGAAGAATAAAAACTGAATTTCTTATATAATTAGACGGAGCAAACACTTCAGATTAAGATAGAATTACTATAATTGCAGCTACAAATTGTCCAGAATAAATTGATTCTGCTGCTTTTAGAAGATTTGTAAATATATATATATATATATATATATATATATTATATATATATATATATATATATTATTATTAATATGTTTTAATGTTTTTATATTATAATTTTTATACTTATTTAAAAATAGACAAAAAGAATTCTTATTAATGTACCAGATATAGAAGCTAGAATTTAATTAATTTAATTAAATTTAAAAGGAACTTAACACACATTAAATGAAAAATAGATATAAGAATTATCTAAGTAATTATAAGGTATTTAAACAAAAATTATAAACAAAATTATCGGATTAAATATATATCTACATAAATATATTAATATTTTGTATAATATTGATAAAATCTATATATATATATATATATTAATTTCTATCATATTTTATATATATATATATTTTTATATTTAGGATATAGTTGCAGTGATATCAAAGCTTTAGTAAAAGAAGCTTGTATGGCTCCATTAAGAAAATTCGATTAAAATAATTTAATAAGTATTTAAATAGAATAAATTGATAAAGTTTCATTGTAAGATATGTAAAAAGCAATGTAAACTGTACCTCCTAGTTTATAAAAAAAAGAGTTGGAATATTTTTAAAATTTAAATAAGAAGTTTAATTAATTAATATGATAATAATGAAATACTATATAAAAATATTATTTTTATTTATATATATTATTTAAAAATACTAAATTTTTATTTATTTTATATTAAAAATATAAAATATTTTAATAATATAAATATACTGTATAATTATTTCAATTATTTATTTTTGTATTTTCAACTTAATTATAAACTAATAAATAAATATGCAAAAATTAACTAAGAAAATAAAAAAAAACAATATATAAATATATATATATATATAATACTCCTAAATAGAAATTAATTAATTTATTTTAAAATAATAAATAAACAAAAATTATTATATTTTATAAATATTTTTAGAAACAAATGAAAAGAATTTATAATTAAGATATAAATCATTAATTTTTAACAATATTGGATAAATAAATATCATATTTTAAAAAAAAACCGCCGAATAAAGGCCATAAATACGCACTTTAATTAACGAAACTTCCTCTAAAATATATGACGCTATTTAAAAATAAATATAATCAAAAGCCTAAAATAAAAAATCAGATCCTTCCATAAACATAAAAACTTAAGCATTAAAAAGTCCCTAAAAGTTTCTTTAATAGAAAAAAAGCCTAACTATTTTAACCAAAAAAGACAATACTAATATTTAAGCTAAAAAAGTCCCAAATAAAAGGCTTTTTAGAAAATAAAGGAACCTATCAAGTATAGATATTAATAATAATACAAACACAAAACCTTTTGTATAAAGTACAATAAGTCAATTTTCATAAAACTAAAGCAAATAACATTTGAATTCTGCCCATAGTTTATCTTGTGCAACATTAATAGTAAAAAACAGTAGAAATATTAATAAATAAAAATAATAATAAAAAAATATATAAGATACTAATAATAATAATATTTCTATATAAAAGAAAGTATTTTGTAATTTATAAAAGCTTAATTTTAATCGAATTTAAAAAGCACTTTCATCTTCTTCTCAAAATATATTAAAATTTTAAGAAAAAGTAATTAAAAATTACAATAATAATAACCATTTATCCTTCTAACATGACAATAATAACATTTTAAACACTTCTCGAGAAGAATAAATGGAAGAACTAAAAAAAATATAAGATTAATTTAAAAAACTAGACTAAGAATTATAAAAAAAAAACATATTTTTAGATGAAAAAAAAAAAAAAAAAAAAAAAAAAAAACCTCAAAATTTTTAATATAAAAAATATTAAATTCTCACAACTTTAAATACTTTTTAAATTTTCCAATAAAAAAATAACTCATAATAATAACAAGAAGTAGGTGATTTTTCTTGCGAAAAAAAAACTCTCTAATCTTAAAGGAATAATAATCATTCAAATATTTTTAAATAAATCATATATTCTAAATAAAGGCAATCTAATAAAAATATATCGGCATTTTTAAACTTAAAATAAACATTATAAATACATTCACTTAAAATAACATCTATATAAACTTCTAATAATAATTTATATACATCCTCAAATGATTATTATATTAAATAATATACATAAAAATAATTATAATATACAAAAATAGCTCAAATAAAAAACCAAAAACACGTAAATTGTTTAAATTATAATTTTTCTTAAAATATACTTGTTTCTGGAGGTTCTGATGGAATTTTAAAATTTTTTAAAGAAAATGAAAATTTATCCAAAATGGAGTTTTTTTTTAAATAAAAAGGACAAATTTCAGCTGTAAAATGGCTTAAAAATCATGTTTTAGCAAGTTCTAGTAATACAGGAATTATAAGCATATGGGATTTGGAGAAAAAGTCAAATTTAGTTAAATAAATTGATGTCAAATATCCTATTTTTAATATAGATTATGTCGAATAATAAAATATTTTAATCAATTTAAATAAATAATCAATAAATTTGCATGATTTAAGAGAAAAAAATGATATTTTTTAGAAAAAAAATATAAAATAATATACTTAAATTGTACAAATTTTATCCAAAAATATACTTATTTTTAGCTCTAATGATTCTATAGATTTTTATGACCAAAGAAATCTCGATAAGCCTTTATAAATGCATAATTGTGAATAATAAAAGGCTAATTGTATTTGCTTTTTTCCATAAATAAATTATCTTATGTACGGAACAAATTATGGTATAGAAGGTATAAACATTTATTAAAAAAACTAATATATTTTTTGGAATAATAATAAAAAATCAAATACTTTACTAATAGATGGTATAAATAATTAACTTTATTTAGGAAATAAAGACGGTTCATTAGATATATTTTAATCTTATATATGAAAAGTGTATATAATAATATAAATAAATATATATATATATATATATATATATATATATATTAATATTATTAATATAATTTATATATATATATATATATTTTTTTTTTTATAATAATTTTATATTTATATATAATTTTTATTATCATTGTTTTTATCTTTTTTTTTTTCTTAATTTTGACTTTATATAAATTTATTAATCTTTATTACTTAAATTTTTAATTTCCTTATTTTCTTCTTATTTCTTTTACGCACTGATACTTAATAATTATTTTTATAATTATTATAATTATTATAATTATAATAATTATTATTATTATTATTATATTCTTTATTTTTCTTATTTTATTTGTTATTACTAATTATATTTTTATTCTTATATATAACTTTCATTACTTATATTATTTTAATCTTTATTATTATTATTTTATTTAATTTAATTATTTTTATTTCTAATACTTTTTACATTCTAAACTTAGTTTATCTATTATTAATTATATACCGAATCTCTTTAATTTTCAAAGTGTTACTAAAGAAATTCATTTTAAAAATTAGATTAATTATTTAAAAATATATAATTTTTTATATATTTTCCATTAAAATTATATGAATTTATTAAATCTTACTACAATCTTCTACTAGTTCCTCCTTATTCCGTATACTATTATTATTATTATTTTCCATTTTTATTATCTATTTCTTTTTATAACTACTAACTATCCGTCATATCATTTTAATGTTATTTTTAATCATTATTATATCCATAATCAATTTCCAAATTTTTTATTATTTTTTAAACTCCATTTAAATTATTAATATTTTCTTTTTTTAAATAATCGAATTCTTCCTAATCTTAAACTTTTCCTTCTTATTCCTATTCCAATTTATCTTTTTTTTATTTCCCATCTTATGCAAAATCTAAAATAAACACGCCTACTCCCCCTAACCCTAACGCCATATAAAAAAAATAAACAAAAATTAAACTATATACTAAAAAACACATTAAATCTATTTAAATTTCTTTTTTTTTCTCATAACAAATAACAATGTATAAAATATGTATATTTAAGCTTATAAATTCTTATAAAGTATAAATAAAATTCGCTTTTTTTTACAAAAAAGGTTTACTTAAAAAAACATAACAAAAAAAACAGAAATTAACTGAACTCATTAATATTATTTGAACTTAACTTTGCTTATATATGAAAATACTAATACTTGAAATAATACATTTTTTTATAAACAAAACAATTAAAAATCCCCTTTACATTTTACTATTTTAATTCAAGTACAAGTATATGATATAGTATAGATTTTTATAATAATTATACACTTAGATCCTATTTTCATCTTCTTTTTCTTACTTATTCATTATTTGTTTCTTTATATTATTAATATCCAGCCATTATTCTATACTTAAAATTTTATTATCCATCTAACCAACCACTAAGCCATCATTTAATGGAAATTCAAACTTTTTTTTTTCTTTTTTTCTCATTTTGACTGCCTAATCTAGATAATATTCTTATTTTATGGAAGTATTTTCCATTTAAAGTTGCGTAGAGGCCGGCTTATTCATACATGGGCTATTATTTTCTACATGATTATATTCTTTTTATTCATTTTTGTTTCGCTTGTGTATTTTTTTTTCTTTTTTTTTTTACAAAATCTTCTTCCTTAGATTTCCGTCTAAAAAAAGCACTTTTTTTTTAACCAAATTTCTCCACAAAAAAAACACAAAAACCACAAAATAAATTAGTACAAAGACCGCAAAAAGGCACGAAAAAACATTCAAAAGACTTCCAAAATCAAAATAAAAAAACTAAAAAAACCCCAAAAGACATAATTCCTATCCCATACAAAAGAGAACACCTAAACATACTGAAATCTGTAAATATTTCTTATAAAAACTTGTAAAATTTCCCAAATAAGCAAAAATCCACCCCCCAGTGATAAAAATAATCACTAAAAATCCATTATTAAGAAACTATTCGATATAATCATTTAAAAACAATTTCTAATTTCCTTTTTTATCCACTTAAACTGCCTTATTATTTTTCTAAAACTCCACTTTTTTCTCTTTTAGATCGTAAAGATATTTTTTCGTATTAGGCGCATTTGGTTGATATAATTTAGCTATATGAATATACTAAAAAAGATTACATACTGAGTCAAAATTTAATAAGCTTTTTTAATTTATATAATTTAAATGACTTATACTTTATGTAAATTCAGATAAACCTAAATAAAATAAAGGGTTAAAAGATATACTAGAAATAAATAAATTTATTCCTACAGAAGATGTGTAAAAAGATTTTAAAATTATTATAAAATTTAAGTATTTTTTATCATCACTGCATTCGTTTTCACCTATTTCAATTAAATTAGGATAACATATACATTCTCCGATACCGTTTTATATTTCATGTAGTAAACGACTATCAGAGCATGATGTACAAGATGAATATTCTTCCGATACACAATCTAGACATGAAAAATGACATTTAATAACTTTTTATTCTTATTATTATTCAATAAGATCTATTTATTAACATATAAATATATATTTATATATATATATATATATATATATATATTTATTTATTTATATATATACGACGAATCTAAGGATTTTATTTTTTTTATAAAATTATAATGATATTTATTAAATATATTAATAAAAGTAAATGTTTTAAATTTACATTCATTTTTTTAAATAGACTATGTATTTTTATATTTAAACTATAAAAAAATTTAATTTACAATAAATATGTTTATATATATAGTTGATTATTTTAAAAAATTTTAAATTAAAAACGATATATATTTATATATAAAATATAATATATATAATATATTTATATATTATTTAATAAAAAATCATTTTTTTATTTAAATTCAATTTTATAATACAGATAAAAAGATTAATAAGACTATTTTTTATTTTTTTTATTTTAATTTTTTATTTAAAATCTTATTTTAATTATAAAACTCTCATTTTTTATTTTAAATAAATCGCATTATATTTATATAATATTTTTTTGAATCTAAAATATCAAGTAATCAATTAAATATATATTTCAAAAATTATTTTCATTTATATATAAATTAAATAGTATATATAATAATCTATATTTAATTGTTTCTATAGAAATACATACGACTTTAAAAGTAATATTTAAGAAACTATTATTAAAATTCAATCAATAATATAATATTATAATATAATATTATAATATATATATATATATAAATAAAAAGACATTATATTTAATAAAAACATATTTTATTAAAATATATAGATATGTATAATTATATATTATTATATATTAAAAATGATAAATACTTAAAATTTTATTAATAAGTATATATATTAATAAAAATTGATTTATATATAATAAAATTATTTTTATAATATTTTAAAAATAAAATAATAACAAAAATAAATATAAAAAAATAATTCAATTATCATCTTCTTAAACTCGAACAATTCTCGAATCTGTCCTATATTTATATTAAACTTAATTTTGACTATCTTTTTATGTACTAACACTTCCTTCAATATTTTCCACTTCTCCTCTTCCTTTTTTTCTCATAGTATCATCATTTTACCCATTAAACTACACATTTTTTTTTTTTTATACTCCTCCATCATCACCTTTAATTGTTATTTCCTTATCTGAAAACACTGTATTATACTTTGTTTCATAAATATTAATAATAATCAATTGATTTAACTTAGCATTTTCTTATACTAATTACTCATACATTCTTTCGAGTCTTTTAACTTCCAAATATTCGCTTTCACTGATAGTAGACTGACTTTTCCAAACATTTAAATAATGATTAAACTCGGAAATTTCTCTATATATTTTTTTCAAATTTCTTTCAAAATTCATATATTCTTCTGTCTATTAAATAATTTTCAATTAAATTTTCCATAAATCCTTATTAAATATTTATTCTAAAGCTTATCCTATATATATATATATATATATAAAAATTTAATAAATATATATTTATATACTTCTATTATTTTCCAATTATTAATAATAAGATTCCCAATAAGATATATCTTATTCTCTTAATGAAATAACTTCATATTATCTTTCAATTTCTTTTAATAAGATTTCCAATTTTTCTTCTATATTCATAATTCTATTAGCCTACATTCTTATCACTTCAAGACTTTCGCAATCTTCGAAATACTCTAAATTCGTATAAGGTCTTTTTTATATATATTATTAAAGTCTATTATTAATAAGAGGGTCCATAGCTTTTTAAAAATGTGTAACTTATTCAACTTATGGTGTAAATTAGCTTTAAAAATTTAATTAAGTAGTCGGTTATAATATTACAGGTTATACGATTTTTCTCGGTGATACTATATTTTCATCATAAGTGACATATTAAGGTGTCTATATTACTTACTACTATAATAAAGGTATTTATTCTTATTAAATAATAGTCCCAGGGATACTCAATTACTAAACTATAGGTTATTATACATATTATGTAATAGGTTATTATTATACATATTAGGTAATAGGTTATTATTATACATATTAGGTAACAGGTTATTATTATACATATTATATTTATTAAACAGGTATTTATTATTATACATACTATATTTATTATACCGGTTATTATAATTACTATAAATTTTAGTACTAAACTGCTTATTAAGGCTATTCTATTAAAATCTCAGGTTATTATTATATATTAGATATGGGTTAAACCGCTCCCTATATATTGTTATGGGATACAACTTAAACATTCTAATTAGGAGGATTATATACATTTCTAAAAGTAAGTTAAGGCTATACAATTTATTAAGCTTCATTAGAGGGCAAATTTTAAGAAAACTAAATAAAAGGCTATTGGAATTATTAGGTATTTCTTTCTTCTAATTAAGCATTTTATATATTCGAAGAATTATTATTTACTTATTAAAAAGAGGTATTTAAATTAATATTTTAATTATCAGATCTTTTCTAAAGAATCTCCTAAGATGTTATATTATTAGATAATCCTTATTGGATATTCGAATTCTATTATGATATTTATCTATATTAATCTGGATTATTTAAATCTTGTTGCTATTACATATATTATGTTTGACTTAAAGGATTAATCTATTGGCTTTTTTATATGTTTTCACTATATTTTAACTGCGGGGTTGAGGCAGATAAATATGTGGGTTAAAATTATTATTATTACATTTTTATATATATTTTATTTTAAAATATTTAAATAATTAATATATATTTTATTTCTAATTAAATATATTTATATATATATATATACATTTAAATTTTTTAATAATATTTTTAAATTTGAAACTTTTTTATTAGTATATTTTTTTTAAAAAAATATAAATTATCATTTTTATATAAATAATATTTATGTATTTTTTACAAATATATATATTATTTAATTAAAGATTTTTTATATAATTATTATCTCATTATAAATAAAAAAATATATATTTTTATTTTATTATAAATTTTATATCAAAAACAAATAATTAAAATTCAATTATTTTCTTAATAAAAAACTCAATATAAAACCCTTTTTTATATAAGCCAAAAATATATTACGAAACTCGAACTATTTATTAAAAACTTTATATCAAATGAATAAAAATTAACTAATATTTAAGAAAATATTTAATAAAACCTACATTTAATAAAATCTTTGTTATAATATAAAACTTTAACAATCATAAAATAAATTAGATATAAAAATAAATAAAATATTTAAAATAATTACAATAAAATTATAAATAAAACAACATAGGAAAATTAAAAAAAATATATTTAAGAATAAATAAATAAATACATAAATATTTACTTTATTATAATTTATAAATATATATATAATACAATTTAAAATTATTTTATTTAGATAACTATAGCTTTATAATTAAATATTGTAAAAATTTATACATGAAATAAAATTACAATAAAATTTTCAAAAAACTTAAAAGTTTTTTAGTAAAAAAAAATTAAAAATATATAAAAATATTAGTAATGTAATAAAAAAAAAGGTTTTATTATTGTTATATTTATTTTAATAAAGATATTCTAAAAAATATTAATATTATAAACATAATTAATAAAATATATATAAATATATATTTATATATATAATAATAAATATATTTATATAATTTTATTTATTTATTTTTATATTAGGTTTATATATATTTATTTATTTTTAATATATTCATCTATATAAAAATATTAAAATTTTAATTTACATTATTTTATTTTTCTTTTATTTTTATTTTATTTTACATAAAATATTTTAATTTGATTATTTATAATGTTTTTAAATAATTTTATTCGTTTATAGTATTTAAATTTATTACTATAAAATTTTTGATAACTTTTTATTAATGTCTTTACATTTTTTTGATAAAATATTTTATAAATTATTTTACTCTGATTTAAATTATGAGAAATAATATATTTTTTTTTTTTATTTAATTTGATTTTTTTTTTTAATTATAAATATGATATAAAAAATTATACTAAAAAATCTTAAATATTATTATATATAATAAAATAAATTAATTATTATAAACAAATAATAAATTTATTAAATGTTATAATTTATTTTTTAAATTATAATTGAATATACATAATAAATATGTATATATATATTATTCTCTTTTTTTATATTTATATGCTATTTTATAAAATAAACAATAATTTTTTATTAAAAATGGCGATTTTATTTTTTTTTAACCAAAAAATTTTATATTATTAATATAATACGTTTTTATGATTTAAAAAGAAAATACTCTGCATAAATTATAATGTTTTTTTTAAAAAGGTAATTGTATAAATAAATATATGTTTCTAAAATATTATATTATAATTTTTATTTTTATAATAATAGTAATAACATTTATATATTATATTTTATTTATTTCTTTTTCAATAATATTATAATATTTATTATTATATTTTTTATATTTTTTTTTAATATAAATTTTTAAATCTTGTATATATATTGTATTTAATATTATATAATCAAAAAATAAAATTACAATTTTAAGCATATACATATATTATTTTACTTTTTAATATAATTTGTTTGATTAATTTCTTATATAATATTTATTGTTTAAATATATATATTTTTCGTTTTAATTAAAAATATTAAACTATTAATTAAAAATAATAAGTTTAAAAATACATATTTTTTAGGTATTTATAAAAAACTAATATTTATTTAAGATAATTAATATATTATTGTTTTCTTTTTTAAAAAAAATAATATTTTTAATTGATATTTTTTTTTATTTAAAAAAAAAAAATTTAAAACTATAATTATATTATAGAAAAAAAAATTATTTAAATTATAAAAATATAAATTGAAATATAAATTTATAAATCAATAATTAAAAATAAAAAAAAAAAAAAAATTATAAAATTTTTGCATAAACATTCATTTAATTAAACAAACAAAAATAAAAAAATAATATATATATATATATATATTTAAAATATAAAAAAATGGATTCATATAATCTTTAATCCCCTTCATCTCCAAAACACAGAAAGAACACATAATAAAAATTAAATTTTTTAACTCCTAAGACTTAATTTAAAAGTGTAGAAAAGCACGCCGAGTAATTATAAAATACACCAAAGCCATCATCAAAAAAAAAAACATATTCACATGTTAATAAACTATTACATAAGAAC